CGCCCAAAGCACAATCCCCTCACTAGGTCTATTACTACTAAAATTACACTCCATATATTCCATTTTAGATCTACTCAAGCGAAAACCTTTAGACTCTAAGGTTGACCTCCATAATTCAAGTTTACCTTCAACTCCCTCTCTAGTCTTATCAACAAGAAGAATATCATCAGCAAAAAGCATACACCAAGGTACATCCTCTTGCAAATGTCTAGTGAGAACATCCATGACTAAAGCAAAAAGATATGGGCTTAAGGCTGATCCTTGATGTAACCCAACCGAAATAGGGAAATGCTTGGTCAATCCACCTTGTGTTTGAACACAAGTAATATCTCCTGCATACATATCTTTAATGTTTTGAATATAAGCATTATTGACTCCTTTCTTTTCAAGAGCTCTCCATAGCACTTCTCTTGGAACTTTATCATATGCTTTTTCTAAATCAATAAATATCATATGTAGATCCTTCTTATTTTCTCTATATTTCTCCATCAAACCTCTTAATAAATGTATGGCTTCCATAGTCGACCTACCCGGCATGAATCCAAATTGATTTTGAGAAACATTGTTAAAAAATAATTAAATTGATTAAATTGATATGCAAGTTTAATTTAAATAGAATAAAAAGAACAAAAAAAATAGCATTTCCTTAGTGGCGCGTTGGTTGGGGCTTTGAATCTGGGTAAGCAGGGGTTCGAATCCCACCATAGGCAGGCTGCTGCGTGGGTTAGCTGGCCCACCCATGTGCTCGCGTGGGTCTGGTGGACAAGCCGGCTTAGCGGGCTGTGTGTGCATCGGTTGGAGCAGGCTGGCCGCAGGTTGGGTGGGGCAGGCTGGTGCAGCCGTGTGGTTTGGTCAGATTTTTCTTATTTTTATATTTCTTTTTCATTTCCGACGAAAAATAGTTCGTCGTAAATTGTACTGGCGAAATAATTCTGCTAGGGCGGAATAACTTTTTTGATGCGTGTTTTACTGTTGAAAAAAAATCTTATGGAAATCTGCCAAAAAAACTGATTTTCGATGAATTTTGGGCATTTTTCGAAGTATTTTGGCCACTGGTAACATGAAATTTTCCAGTAGTGATATAATGAGGGCAATAATTCAAATGTAACTTTAGCTTATAAAAAGAAAATGTTTTATTAAAAATATCACTAAGATTAATTCTAAAATAATTTCATGTTAGTAAAGATGTGATATTTATCCTCTAATTGATGACTAGGCCCAACAACTCCATAGAACTCATAGTATGGCCTAATGGCTCTATTTGATAAATGGTTATGGAAGGTCATATAATTGATGGCTTGGCCTAATGGCTCTACAAAGAACCTGTGGTTTAGCTAAATGGGTCCACATAGTAAAGATTATGGCCAAGGCCCTCTAACTTGGAGGCTTGGCCAAATAGCTCCACTATATAAAGTTATGGGTAAAACCTATATGTTCTTCAATGACTAATGCCATTGAGTAATGAATCATAAGGTATAATCGACAAGATATAAAGCCCTTTATAAGTTAAGGTTAGGTTGAATTCATCCTATAGACAAAACATTCATCCCAAGTCTATAAGATAACCTTGTATGAAGTAACTCATGGTTGCCGACAAGGATCCGTTAATAAGGTTGGGATGCCTATCTCTTTTGACTAAGTAAATTAGGGACCAAGATAACCCAAGATGATAGAATCATGTAATCTTGATCATGTTCATCATCATTGCCCACATTGTTCACTTTAAGCGTAAAGGTGATAAAATTTCTAGTTCTAAACATCTAAAATTGAAGCTATTATATGCCAGGTACCTAGTTCATATCTAATAACTAACCTTAATAAAACATGTTATCTCATTATTGGGAGAGGTAATTAACGGTAGAGGCTTGCTCCTTAGGAAATCTAAACTCAGTTAAAGTCCTTGTATATGTGGGCTAAATCTCTAGGTAGTGTCTTATCTCTATCTACTTTCCCCTTCTAAAAATTTCCGTCGAAACTTAATCCGTTAAGACTCTCCCAAAATATACGCGGAGAGGTCGGGCCACAAAGTTTTTGCGAGCCCATACGTACAATATTAAGCTCTTATATATCCTAATAACACACATATACAATATCAAACCCTTATAACTCCATGTGCATGACACAATTCATTTGTTCTGTTGCTCGGGCCATTATATCTCCCCAATAATTATTACATATTTTAGTCACATGAGCATAGAAATATTAGTACTTTTAACAAGTATGAACATCATCTAACACAATACAGGAATATACAAATTTCACATGTACGACAAACAGAGTAGTGTTTTCAGGGAAATACTCGTATACACATTCAACATTTACAAAACTCAAAACCTTTTACAAACAACATTCATAACATTGTTTTGAAGTTTTTGCTATTCTATAGCCACTTCTATCAGTGCCAATATATTCACTAAAACACTTAAACTTTATGAAGTAAAAATACCTTATGAAAATATGTGTTTTCCTAGGTAACATGGCCATAACATTCTATTCTATAACTTATCAAAAGTTAAATGATAAAAAATTTTCCAATCTTTATAGAATTGAGTTTGTATAAAATTTAACCAAATAAATGATAAAAACTCACACGAATGATTCAAATTGAAAACTAAAGTATGGTAACAATAACCTACCTCAAATTAGTTACATAAATAAAAAAATATTTTATTTGATTACATAACACTAATTTATATAATCTTTAGTATAATTGTTATATATATAAAAATGGAATAAGAAGTGTAGGGACATGAAGATGGAATATGAAGGGGTATTTAATAAATATGAATTAAAACCATAAGAAAAAGAAAATAGGAATCATAGGGGATACAAAAAGGATAATACAAAGGGGTATTTGATGAATATGAATGAAGATTAAGAAGAATTATAAAATTAAAAAAATCATTTATTTGCTTAAATGAAAAGTAATTACAAATTAATTTTTTTTTAAATTATCAATAAATTATAACAAGATAATAAAATCAATAGTCATGATTCTATTTGAATAATTAAAATAAAAGACTAAGATTTTTTTGGGAAGAAACTCAATTGATTTTTATAATAGTAGTATAGATTTTTCAAAAATAATTTAGACCAGAAATAATAAGAAATCAATCAAGATAATAAGGAAATATAATTTTTAAATATTTATAATGACTTTATACTCAATTTTTTTTTTACTTTTAATATACTTTAAATTTATAATATAATAATATTTTTAAATAAGCCAATTTTATCAGATATCAAGTCGAGTCAAAATTAGCTCAAATTTGACATATAAGCCCATCAAATTGAGCTAGCTATTTATCATACTAAGCAAGAATCAACTCATAAATAAATATTTGACTTCATTGCAAGTAGAACAAATTCTTGCACTATGCAATATTTTATAAGCAAACTGTAGCAGACAGATAAGTCAAGCCTTCACCAATGATATTTATAAGAAACCGTAGGAGGAGTACTCAGATTGTCACCAAAAATAGGAATTCTGTTAGCTTAACAGTGTAAATATCACAAGATAAAATGTTGCCAATATAAGCCTTCACATATTAAATGTTTCCAGTAGGAGATTGAGTTCCTCATAAATTTTCATACAAAAAATAATCCTTAAAATCCCTTATTAGGATTGGAAAATAATTAACTAATTAGTGTGTGATTAATTAGTCAATTTTATCTTAACTATTGAATAAAGAATTATTAGTCCTATTGGATAAGCTAATTTAGTATTATAATATTTTTTTAACAGTTAATTAATAATGCTAATTAATCCATAAATGAAATAATATTTGATTACTGAGAGAAAGCAACATAAATGTAATAGCTAAATAGAGTTATGATTGTGATTAGAAAGTGGTGAGAAAACCGCCCCAAACATACCTTAAATCTAAATATAAAAAAGCTATTTCTCACCAAATAAAATCTTTTAAAAGTAACTCAAAAGTTGTGGCCATAGTGTTAATGTTGATGGTGAGTATCAACTTTATTGGCAATGATCTTCATTGACCTTGGTGGAGATGGCAGACATCTGTGTTCGTAGTCAATAGTGCATGTCAACCTTATTAGGGATTGTCGGTATTGATGTTGTTGGTGGTAACATGTGATCACCTGATCAGCATTGAAGAGTATCACCTTTATTTAACATAAGGCAATGGTGGTTGGGAGATGGCGCAAGCAACAGTGGTCGTCAGTGTTGATTGTTCGACAAAACTCTAAGATTCTACAAAATTATAAGCTCTCTTCTATATGATTCTGACGTCAACCTTGAAAATTATTTATTAACATACTTGCATCAAGATTCATACTTGATTGGGCAGATTGTAAGGCAATGTCTCAATGGCACTTAAACAATATAATTTGTTAGTTGATCATAACCATTATTGAAGTATCGACTGTAACTGCTGAACCACCATCACTCGTATTTGTTTAATTGATCCATTGATATAACTCAACAGACCAATCATCATATCACTTTCCACTTTGGTAGGTGGACACAATCTAGACCATCTATGTTGACATGGGTTGAAAAGATTCTAGTAAAATCACCCACCTCGCCCAGCTTGGAGAGGCATGACAAGGTCATTTGAGTAGGAGCCCACACATGTGACCCTATTGAAGGTGGAGTGGGTGCGTGTGCACATGAACACACGACAATGTGTCACATGCACAAATAGCAGAACACATGCGCGACAATGTATGCAATGATTCACATTAGAGATGACGTGGTTGACACAGTGGCATTATTGGTGTGCAACAAAGACTCTATGAGTTCGCTCCTATCTTTGAAAGAAGAAGTTAAGGAAAGTGATAGTTAAGTAAATAAAATATTTAAATAATATTAAGGATTATGTATGTAAATTCTCTAAATAAAAAAATCATATAGGATTTTATAACTTCAAACGCCAATCTATTATTTCTGATGTATTCTCTTTAAATTTGAATAATTTTCATCTTAAACTAATAGCCATACCTCTGTATACATTAGCCCTAAAAAGCCTTTTTGTAATTTGAGCTAAAGCCCTACAGATCGTGAGGATGGGCTGCTTTGTTCCCGATGTCCTGATTTGTTCTATATCATCGTCTCTAGTACCGTCGCTGACTTCACGGCGCTCATATTTTCTTCTGATAATTTCTCCATCTTGTCTTCGGTTACAAGGAAAATTTTTGGAAACTTCGCTGCAAAATAATCGCCGTTTTACCTTCAATCGCGGGAGGGATTTTCGGTTGCGAAGTCCATTCGCGTTTTCCACCAGCCTGCGAGGACAGAGTGAAAGAAGATCTATGCTCAAAACCCTCCCGAGATCCGATTCGGAGATGACTTAAATTGTTGAAGATTTCCTCGACCTCGTCCTCAATTGATCTGGAGAAAACGGGGCCGACGAGAAGAAGAAGAAGATGCAGAGGCGAGGGTCCAACCACCGCCTGCCATCGCTTCTGTTCCGCTCTCGAATTTCCTACGTGATGCTTGCAATGTTCGCAACTATGTCCGCCGTCTATGTAGCAGGCCGGTGAGCGAGCTATTCTGTTGTCCCTGTACTTGTTTTTCGGATTCTGATAACGGTTTTTTCCTTGATTGGAGATTTCAGGTTGTGGCAGGATGCGCAAAACAGGGTTTATCTCATTAAGGAACTTGATCGGAGAACGGGGAAGGTACGATCATTCTCTATAGTCGTTGTTTTTTATTTATTTTGATTTGCTGCGTTTGTCCATTTTCTTTATATCAAGTATTGTGTATCTGCCCAATTTGAAAGGGAATGGTTATGATGGTCTCTTAAAGTACAGGGAGTTGAACACCCTTGATTTATTGATTCTACTGCAGGGGCACCCGGCTATATCAGTGGATGATACACTGAAGGTGGTAGCTTGCAGGTAGTTCTCCAAAGAAATGGATCTGAAATGTAGTGTTTTGATGTTGTTTTTTGGGCGGTTTGAATGTTAAACTCCAATTTTCAGAAACCAGCATAAGAGATTAGCAGCTCTTGAGATGGAACTGGCTGCAGCAAGGCAAGAAGGTTTTATTGGAAGGTATACTCCAGAGACTAAGGGAAATCACACCAGGAAAAGGCTGATGGCTGTTATTGGGATTACTACAGGATTCGGCCAGAAAAATAACAGAGATGCTATTCGGAAGACATGGCTTCCAACTGGTAGAGCACTTGCATCTTTCTCAGTTGATTATAGTGGAATTTATATGGTTAAACTATCTTGAGATTTGATATTGTTCTTATTGAAGGCTGAAACCTTAAGTTCAATGAGAAACTGAGAACAATTAAAACTTAATTCTTTATTTTTCTATTTTTATGTCCACATGTATGATGCATCATTTCTTGTATTGCAAATAAAATGGCTTGTTTTGTGTTTTAAATGGAAATACTCTACTTTTTTCATGCTCTCTTTTTACATCTATTTACTTCAAATAATATACGAACTAACGATTTGCTGGCATCAAACAATTGTTTTTATGGTTTTGCTTGGATACTGCCAACATATCATCAACAATGAACTTTTTTATAACATTATGTGTAGAAACTAAATGCATGCAGGCAGAATTGCGAGAGTTGGATAAACTAATATGCAATTGTTGAAATGTTCAGTTTTGCATGTTGAACAGATAGCAGAAAAGTATTCTATGTGGTAGTGTAGAATTAATGCGAAAGGACTGGTTGGTAGCTAAAATAAACATCGTTAGAAGATATTCAAGGATATTTAGTTAAATTGTATTTGATAAAAAAATATGCTTAACATATGAATATATGGAGAACAGTAGCTTAGATTTTTTTTTACCCTGAAAATTTGCATGTTGACATAAAGGATATCGCAAAAAACACAAAGTGTTTAAGCCTAATTTACAATCTTCCTTCAACAACATAAAAAAATCAGAAGGAAGGGCATCAATATCTATCTTTCTCAACAAAAAAAAATTAGTTTAAAGTAAAATTTGCACAAAAGTAGGTCACTTTGTTGGCCTCTTTAGGAATAGGTTGGAAGATAACTTGTTGGAAGGTTGTCAAAAAGTAATATCAAGCTCGTTGGGATGAGGTCTATTCTTGCAATTGGATGGCATAAGCTTTTGGAACCATTTGATTACATTGGCATTGTCACCTTCTATGATTTTTCCAAGGGAATCAAACATCCAATGCTCCAAAATATGTTGGAGGTATAGGACTGCATCTATCTCCACCTAGGTGTTGTTCCAATGTAGAAATTGTTTGCCAGACACAAGATTGAGCTCACCTCTAGAGTCACGAACAATTGCACCCAACCCAACCCTTCTAGATGGAAGAAGAGCTCTGTCGATGTTGACCTTTAACCAATTAGGAGGTGGGAGGTGCCAAACATTTCGTACAAGCAACCTATCATGCTAACTGGTGTCCCTTTGCTCTAGAATGATTCACTGGTGGTGGTGAATTAGGCTCCCAAGAGTTGATGCTGCAATGGTAACGGGAGTCCCATAGGCACGGCGATGCTTTTTGGCATTCCAAGCTCTCTAGTTTTGGTACACCATGTTGCACATGATGCGAATGGAGGTATTCCCACAGTTGTTGAGGTGCTTGCTGAAATTAGCAAGTTTAGGTAAACAATTAAATGTAGGAATGATGAATCCCTAGCTCCATTAGGCCAACCAGATATCCTTCAATCTATTGCATTGGAATTCAAGGTGGTTCATGTTCCTTTTTGCCTCACAGCCCCATAGGCACGCATTAGTTTTAGAAAGTCCTCGTTGATACAACCACATGGGTAAGGCATCACGACATAAGCGCCACAGAAAAAAAAAAAAGAAAACACTCCTGCAGGTGCAATCGAACTTTTTGAATCCATTCAAAAGGGTTTTCGGTTGGGGGTGAATAAGGCCTCATACTCCTGAGCTATAATGGTCTTGCATAGAGTTGAAAAGCTAAGATGCATTTGGTTTATCTCCAGGGAATAGAGGTGATTAGTTGGATGAGGGGGTAACCAAAGAACTCAAAGCATTTCAACATTCTAGTCCTTTTCTGGTGTTAGCAAATAGCAAGTCACTGCCAATTTCCCTTCTAGTGCACTAGTTAAGAAAATTCGACAATTTAGTGAATGGAGTCTCAAAAAGCCTCACATGGTCAAGAATGAATAGACTGCCCATCTACAATATGTCATCTAATCATGTCTCAAAACAAGAAGCCCCATCACAAATAATTTTTCAAGATGAGTGTAATAACTCAAATATGTGAAATAAATTCTCTTGAAAATATAAAATTTTGAAGTAGAGCATTTTAGCGCCAATATGGTGAGTGTTGCGGCACTAGGTCATGAAAAAAAAAATTAAATAAATAAATAAATATATATATATATATAGGCGTTGCTCCAAATATTGACACCATACCTACATCTCAAAATGGAGTGGAGAGTAGTGTTGGTATTAGACAAGAATCGCTAGGTTAGGCGAGCACGGAGCAGTTTATGCTAATTAGAGGCAGCATGAAATCCAAGGCCCCCCTAATGAGTGGTTTTGCGCAAGTCATGCTAGGAAATATAATGCATTCCTCTTTATCCAGTTTTCTTTTGCCAGAGGAGTTGGTGAGCAGTTCTTTTAATGGCATTAAGGACACCAGAAGACACTTATATACATATAGCTAGGCAACTAGTAGAATTAATGAGAGTTATATGCCTAGCTAAGGAAAAATGGCAGTATACAGTAGTCATAGACCTTTTGATGGACATGGAGAAGCAGGTCTTACAAGTTTGTGGCCTTCAATTTGCGCATTGCAAGCCACACACCCAAGTACATTATATCCAGCACCTATATGAAGCTGCTAAGTTTAGTGATACAATATTTCTTCCATCTAGGCGTGGCCTTACTGAATATGATGGAAGATTGGAGTTTATTGACCCTTTGTCTAGTCCAATTGCAATAATTAGAGACCACATTATTAATTGCAAAGCTTGCTTTGTTTGAGGCTTCAGGATGCCATCAACATATGGCAAGTGTAAAACATGAGGACCAATCCTTCTAATCAAAATGCCCAAGGTGGTGTTATAAGGACTAAGAGCAGTAGACAAAAGTTCAAAATAAATAATAAGCAAATACGAAGACAAAGAGCATCCTTGGTAGAACCACACTTGGTCCACAAACCATTAATACTGAGAGAGTCAGTGAAGGCAACTAGAAATTGCATTTTGTTCATGATGAAGCGGAGAGTTTTCCAGCTCATTGAGTCATACGCTTGCTCCATGTCAATCTTAGTTTCGATAGGATCCGGCACAACCGTAGAGTGTTTGAATTTTCTAATAACTTCCTAAGCAAGCAGACAGATTTCAGAAATTGATCGGTCTGGGACAAAGGCCCCTTGGATTTAGGAGATAAGCATAAGAAGAACACCTTAAATCTCCCTACCAAACAATCAACCACCACCTTATTAATAGTATGGCAAAGACTTATGGGGCGGTACTTGGATGGGCAATTGACATTAGTGAACTTTGGAGCAAGACCATTGTCGTTTCTGTCCAACAAGCGGGCATTTGACCCATGTTGAAAAATTCCAAAACTGCTTCACAAACGTGCACCTTATTAATGGGTTGGAAGTGCTTAAAAAATAATGTAGTGATCTCATACAACCCCAAATCTCTTCCTTAGTGAACTCTTCGATTAAATTAAGAGCCAGTTCCTACGAGATAATTGGAAGAGAATCTGCAACATAATTATAATATAATTACGCCAATGTTGACCTCTGCACACTCGCCAAGGTAGTGCGAGCGAAGGCGATGAAAGTGATGATCGACAAGAGCGACACTTCAAACTATCCAAATGACCTCCGATTGCCGAACAGAACACGCTGATGCAATCAGAGTATCAAATTTAGCTAAGGGAGGATCCGTCATAATTGAATTGAACGAAGGTGGTTGAAATCGTCAAATTACAGGCGCGATGGCACACCCGAACGACGTCTGTTAGTAAAACGTACTTCGTTATTGCATCTGGAACGTTGACAATACCCAACAATGGCTATAATATCGTCTGGGTGCTTGCACAAACGAAAATGTGAATTTTGCACAAGTTTTAGGCGATGATGAGATGAATTTTGAGGTGACAAAGATACAAATTGAAGTGCACAAAAAACAAGGAATTTTATTCCTGCTAAAATCCCTAGAGTCTTGCTTAAATCTCACTTGAATCCTGCTCAAATCCGGCTCAAATCATTGTTGTTCGGTGCCACTTGTATCCCTTCTTGCGATTCCTGCGACTCGCCGCGATCAAGCTCCACTTTGGTCAGTAAAATTAGAACTACCCAAGCCTTTTGCTCTTCTTCGACACACAAGAACTCCTTCATTGTGCCGAACACTCCATGCTATCTATTGCACTTTCACTTCTCAACCCACCCTCACCCGACCATGACTCCTTAAGTCATCCGACCCCTATTTGCACAACAACCAATCAAACTCCCTTAATATGCTGACTTCTGCTTCTCTTCTCTCCGTTCGATTCTTGCAGCGGTCGTAGGTCACCATCCCTCTCAAACCCAATGGATCGAGCCTCCCGATTAATCCGACTCTACTCCCGATCACGCCAACCCGGCCTTCCATCCCTCCACATGCCAATCGAACCCAGCCCTCTGCCATGAGATCATTCCAGCATCAATCTCCAAAATCAATCCCGATCCGTTCACAGCGTGCTATTGGCCGATCCCACACAAGCCACAGCTCAATCATGCATACTCTCGAACAAGGTTTAAAATTGCGTAACTGTGCCTCAAGTCGGTTTTCGTCCGTGAGGCGAGGCGTAAGCCTCGAGGCGGTCTGAGGCGTAAGCCTCACGAACATAGAATTGCGTAAATGAAAAATTAAGGGTTTTAGCAGGAAAATAATAGCAATAGTGAAAAATAAGAAAGTAGATGCAATAAAATCATGTCCCAAAGTACAAAATCACAAAATATTAGTTTAACAAAACTCCCAAAATACAAAAAACATATAAAATGAAATCATATCCCATCACTAAATGGGTCTTCAAGTGAATATTCTTCTCCAATTATATCTATGAATGCCATGTCATCTTCATCTTCAACATGACTCACTTTTCTCTTCCCTGTTCATTAAGATAAAAGATCATTATCATGTATTCATGTTCATTGCTCACTTAACATAAATGTAATGTAATAGCATATAAGAAGTTGTGGAATACCTTTACTTGATTGTTGTGCTGCAGAGCTAGTGGATGTGCCAACTGCAGTACTAGTGGATGTGCCAACTTGATCTGCTTCTCCCCTCAAGACATCCACACTTAGATCTTCTAACTTTAAGTCTGATAATGGCAAATCTGTCTCATCATCTATGAACCACTCATTATCAGACGGCGTGCGGGAACTCGGAGTCGCGACCTGGAGCGTGCGGGAGGGAGAAACGTCGGGTGTGCTGAAGGATACGGGTGAAAGGAGAGAAAAAGAGCTCATTTTAAGTGAGTGGACCCTACCCAGAGAGGCGTACGCCTCACAAGGAGTTGCGCAATTGCGCCTCTGAGGTGCGCCTCAGCCCCAGTGAGGCGTACGCCTCTTGAAAGCCCAGAATTGCATAGGTTATGAGGCGTTTTTGGGAGGAATTGCGCAAAGGCGCGCCTCTCATTGCGCAATTTTAAACAGAGCTCTCGAACTCCTCTTCAAGAAAAACAACCTACCAGCCTCAATCTCCCACCCCCAAAACCAACTTCCAGCCTTCTGCAGTCCAAACCACCGAATTCGCACAAGGAGTTGTTCCTCCCTACAGCTATTGCTGAACAAACCACTCAACTCGCCATCCTATTCACACTATCACTGTTGCCCCATACTCCTCCAACAGCCAGTGAAAATTCCAACTTTAGCCCTATGATTTCACATATTCCACCTAACAAGCTATAGCAGTCTCACTTTCTTCATCTACAACCTCCTCCAACAGCAATCCCAAACCAACCCCTAAATTCCCTTACTCTTTTCAACTCTCTATTATTATTATTAATATTAAAAAAAAACAAAAAAAAAAGAGAAAAATAAAAAAGATCTGTGCGCGTTTAAGTCGTCTTCGTCGCCTCAATACTGTCGTCGTCGACTCTCGCACAGGGTATAATATTCTCTAAACTTAAAAATCCCCCAAATTCCGTTTTTGGTTCTTATGGTGCAATGAGCGGAATATATATGCACGCTTTTGTTGGCGTGGTGGGAGGGAGCTTAGTGTGACGCTTGCGACGAGGTAGGTGAGCCTTGTGCATTCTTTTTTTAGCGTGGCAAGGTAAAACTTAAGTACCCGTACGTGCTTTTAGGCCGGCGGGGAAATTTGCAAGTCTTTTGCATAGGTACCATTGCAACCCATGCACGCCTTTCTTGGTGTGGTGAGGTAGAAGATCATGGTTGTGGTGTTGCTCGACACGGATTATGCATGTCTTTCTTGACGTGGTGGGCAAGCCTAGACTCTAAAATATTTTTCTAAACGGGGGAGACGTCGCGAGGCTGTCAAAAATTTGAACTGATAGAGAACCGGACTTGTTAAAATAACTTGGAACATAACTTAAACTAATTAGTTGGGAACTAGACCTTGGACCTTAAACTAATTAATGTACAATCACGATAAAAATACAAATGTTAAATAATAGTCTTAGTCACTCAAACGAACATAAATGAAGCAGGAGGTTCATTGTGGATAAATTTTTAGACAGTTTGCTTGCAAGCAATGATCAACAGGAATCTAGGAGAATGTGTAATCTAATGCACAAAATCTCTCAACAAGCATTGCAAATCACATATGAAAGATAGTAGTTGATGCATAACATTCACATCAATCATGCAAGCAAATACACTAACCTTAGGCAAATAAAGGAGGTTGACATGCAATGAATACAACGACTTGCTAACCAAGATATGCTTATGAGCAAAACATGTAAAATATGCAACGAATATAAGAGCCTGAAAAATATGCAACGAATGTAAGAGCATCCCTACGATCAATATCAGCCAGCTTGCAAATGAATATGTTGATTCCCTATAAACAATGGCAGTTGATGTACAATGAATGTGATTCCACAAGCGTGTCCGAGGAAATGACAATGAACACAACACACTGTCTACAGTTAAAGGCAATAAAATTTTGATGAATACGAGCACCTACGAGCAACTGTAGGAGGCTTGTTATGTGCACCACTATCTGCCTATGAGTCAGAAGATTCGTAGGCTTGTGGCAAATTTGGTCCGCACACTGATAGAAAGCACAAGCTTGTGATGTACCCTACAACTTGCCTATAAGTTGAGGTAATGGGCTTATGGTAGAAAGCATGAACTTGTGATGCATACAACAATCCTACTTGCAAGCTAGATTAGGAGATTTACGCTTAATGCAGCCCACTCATGGGCAGTGACCAGAGCTGGTGACTTCTAAATGCCTATTGCCTGTCCACAAACAATGATGATGAAGTTTGCACAGCACAACAACCCACCTGTAGGAAGCAGAAAGTGATCAGTAGCAACACTTGCAAGCAAGAAAAGATGACTCATTATGTATATAATAGCCTGCATACAAGTTAAAATGGCAAGTAAACTTGAAATGCAAACAACAATCTCGCCCACGAGCAATGCTGGAGGATGTTATGCTGAATACAGTTCACCATGCAACAACTAGTGATTTTTTAATGTCTACTGTTGATCTACAAACAAACTTAACAAATCTTGCATTGCATGACAACTTGCCTGCAAGAAGCAATGAGCGACCTGTAACGCAGCACTATGACTCACCTGCAAGCATAAGCAGGGAATTTGTAGTGAAAATTATGGATTGCTGGTGGACTGAAATAGGAAACTTCTAATGTCGGGTTATCACGTCGAATAGATTAGCTCACTTATGATGAAGGGTGGAGAACTTGTAACGCCACTGGATTCACAACACTTGTACAAGTGGACATAAGACGTTCGTAGGCCCCTAAATGAAATTTTGCTTAAACTTTAGCGGCAATCATTTGAGCAAATAATCTTATTTAAATATTTTAAAAATCTTCTATCATGCATTAAAATATGATTCCCTAAACTTAAGTGCAACACCCGTATAGGTCCTAGTGAGCATGATGTATATACACCTGTGATGTACGAGGGGTTAATTTTTGAATTCTACCAAAACTCTGAAGCTTTACATCTATTAAGAATATTCACATTTAAAATTGAAATTAATCATCTAACATTTAAAGAAAAAGATCCATCCACCATTCACAAAAGTTTGTCGAAGTGGATAGATTTGAAAATCACTTCAGCTCACAAAGAACGAATGTCTAGTTAAGAATATCACTAGGATTCATTCTCAAATCATTTATTGCCTGTAAGGATGTGGCACGTGTCCTCTAACCAGTGGTTCCGTCGCCCAATAACACCACAGTTATATGGTTATGATCGAGGCCCTCTGACAGGGTGGTTTTGATGCTAAATGGTACCACTAAATTACGGTCTTGGCCAAAGCTTGTATGTTCTCCAATGGTTTTAAATCATTGAGTAATGAGTCAATAGGATATAATCAATAGGTATAAAGCTCTTTATTAGCTAAGGTGGACTCAAATCTATCCTCATAGGCAACCATTCACCCCAAGTATACAGGTGCCCTTGGATGAAGCAATCCATGACTACCTACATGGATCCTTCGATAAGATTGGGTCGACTACCTCCTCTGACTAAGTAAACTAGTGACCTGAGACGACAGAACAATGAGATTTTAATCGAGTTCATCATCATTCCCCTCACCATCCGCTTTAAGTGCAAGGTGGGTAAAATTTCTAAGTTTAAATATTAAGTTTCACATCTAAAATTGCTACTACTATATACTGGATACTACATATCTGTTCAGTAACTAGCCTTAATTGAAAGTTCTTTCTCGTCATTGAGAGGGGTGATTAACTATAGGGGCTTGTGCCTTTAGGAAACCTGAACTCAGATCATAAATTCCTCGCAAAATGAGAACGAAATCTCTAGGTAATGTATTATCTAAAACTCAATTTGCCTTATGAAAATTTACTATGGAACCTAAACTCGTTTAAACTCTCCTCGTCGACACCAACAAAAAAAAAAGAGTTGCGGAGAGGCAAGGCCGCGAATTTTTGGAGCCCACAACCAAACACCTCATAAATCTCTGGAATCTTTTAAAAAAAGCTTCCATCCACCAGCCTGACATTAGATATGCGATGAGTTCGACGCCTTGAAGAGGCCATCGTATGGAAGAAGTTGGTGTTTGGTTTTCCCTCAAGTAATCAGCAAAGTTTGTCCCTTTAATGCCACCAGGAGGTGATTCTAGTCAGTGTTGTCACCAATTTCATAGCCTTCTTCTTAAGAGAGGTTGTTGTTTAGCCATGAGGCCATTCTCTAGATATTCAGGTGTTTGCAACTCAATGATTTCATGCTCCAGCATAGCCATGAGCAGTCCCAACTCTTTAATCTTATTTTTACCCCAAAAGGAGAGGGACCTAAGGGTGCACTTACATTTCTTAGTAAGGTGCTAAGACTTGGTACCCCAATCATTTTTATTCCACTTGGCTGCCACCAAATGCCACACGATGGGATAGGACAACCTGATGTCCTCAAACTTAATCCAATTGGATCAATTCTTATCAGACGAGTTGCCAATTCTGAGAATAATAGGGCAATGGTTGGATGTGAGCCTGACAAGGTGCGTGATAGTAGTAGCAGAGCTTGATGCACGACAACAGAATTGGCTAAACACTATCATGCTGGATCAATATCTTATTGTTTCATTTCTTGTTTTTTCTCCTAATGCTCTGAGGCCCCACAAAACCCAAGTCTTGCATGTCATTCACTGCTATGAAATCTAGCATATCTTGAACACCCAAAGAAAAACTAAATCATTTACCTCCATTGTTAGCCTCTTGACTCAAGATGCAATAAAATTTCCCTATAGAAGTGGGAATATTCAGCTCATTTAGTTGACTAAGGGCAAGCCACAGAAATCTTCTGATGAGATAGTCTTTATTGGCATAGATAATACCAAAGATTGAAAGGCCTCAAGAGCGGACAAGAGAATTGGTCGAAGATGAATGCTCAGAAGCAACAACAATAAAAAACTTCACAATGTCCCGTCTCCACAAAGCCAAAATTCCCCCAAAAATTTACCATGAGTGAGTTGATGAAAGAACCTCCCAGCTGAGGCCAGTTAGCCTATCCATGTTGTTTCTATCGAAGTCCTCCGAGCGTGATGAACATTGCCTCGTGATGAACACAAACCCACAAACCAAACACCAAGCTCCCAAACTAAGTGCTTCAGATAGTTTGCGGTGCCTTTCTTCCTGGCACTCATGCAGTTCCAAATAATGATAAACGTCATTTGGTCCTTGCCTTCTGTAAATAAATTAGATTGCTTCTTTTTTCTTCCTTCATAGTTTCTTGATTGGTCTAGGCTCATAATCTCCTTATTGAAATGAGCTCTGGATTCACGATCCTTCTAATGAAAACTCCTAGAAGTGGTAGGTAGCTTCCCATCTCCAGGATCAGATCCTATACCGTTATCCGCCTTGAAGTCAACTGGTCGAGTTGTATGGTGTTAATGGACAATGGAATGAGCATAGGACTCCAACTGAGTAGCTTTTGCCTTCTTTGACTCTAACTATGCCTTATTGGATTGGGCTGTAGAATTACGGCTATTTGGACCATCAAATCTGGGCTTACTTCCACTCTGTGACGTTCATTTTTTGTCTTCTAGACACTAAAATCTATGGTCCATAGTTATCCTTGGAGCCGCTAGAATGAATAGTATCCACCGGGTTCAGAAGACCTTATTGAGTGTCATTGGCTTCCACTGCCATTTGAGAAGGAATAGACAAAGAAACACTATCATGATGATTCTGTAATCCCACGCCACTCTCACTTGAATGATCACAGTCCTACATAGGTCATGCCTCCTTTCTTCTACTTGGAGTCAGATCAACTTGCTTGGTGGCCTTTTGTGAGAGGTCATGTGAACTAGGCTTCTACAAAGTCTTGGGTGTGTTGCTTGTCGATCCTTGTTGAGAGTTCATTGACCAATCTTATGGCTGATAATTTTACACCTAAAGCACATTTGGGAGATCCCCTCATACTCTACAGGTCAGTAGAGCACTAGAGCTGATTCTGGATGCCTTGCACCCGAACTCCTGGGACAAGTTTTCTCGATAAGTTTATCCAGGCACACTCGTGCATACAAGCTTTGGCCCTATATCTCATTCAAGCATCTGCCCATAACGGTTAACCACTTTTGAAGAAATACAAGTAATAAGTTGTCCCAAAGGAGTGGTAGCAATGGAAGATGAATCCAAATAGTGGATTTGAGTCCTTGCAAAGACGCAGGGAAATGTTTAGAGTTCAGCGATCAATCCCAATTATATTGCTTGCAATGAACCAATGGCCATCTCTCAAAATAGCATTATGAGCCTCCACATTATAAACTATGTAGCCAAAGCATACCGGGATAACAATGATCACTTTAATTTATCCTATATGAACCCATTTCCATCTCAAATCTGATCCAAGGAATGAATAAGGCAACTTTTTCTCAAGCAGTAAGCAACCAAAGCACGTCATTGTTTGTTCATATTATTCAACATTGCCTCATGATGAACACAAACCAAAACATCTTTAACAATCTCTGAGTAGGAGGTTTCTAAATTTTCAATGCTAATGTATTTAGGTTGATTCCAGGGAGGGGACGGGTTCTATTGTGACACAGCAACATTTGGGGAAAAAGATGTCTAGCTGGTTCTAAATGGATCTGAAGAAACATTGTCTGTTGCGGCATTAGTGCAAACTTCTTGAGTGCAATTTACAACTTCAATAATGTCTTGTACAAAGGAATTAATGTTGTTGTTTTGGCCCAGATGCTCCCATGAAGCATTAACACCATTTTTATTTACCATCTCAATACAATTTGACATGGAATTGACATTGTGAACCTCCATAAAGTTCACCTTTCCATGCATACTTTATGTCCTAGTACCTTGCATCATCTTGGCGGCGAGTGAGGCAGCCGCTGGTTCATTCACCTCCAAAACACCATTTATCGACTCCAACCCCACCTCAACTTCTTAATCATTTCTCCATGTGCACCAACAGTGGATTTATCGAGAAGTTCACCATCTAGCAGGAGGGCATCATCCGACTCTACACAATAACGCTTAGCTACACATTCAACAAAATTTTCGCCTCCATTTCATGGCTGTTTGGTTTTTCTTGCACCATGGAGATTCCATTTGCTTACACTGTGCCTTCACAAGCTCGAGAAGAGAAGCATGAATAAGAATTCCCACTTATGGTGGTAACCGAACTGCCTTTGACTTCCATAGAGTTATCGAACTTCAACATCGAGCAAGAATTTCTAAGGTTCTCCGCCACAGCAACAACCTTGCAGGGAGACAGCACCTCCCAAACCTTTCGATCCTGGTTCACCTTTCCATGCTTACTCGAAGTACCCTTCTCCTTGTTTTCTACCTGCTTCTCCTCAGCACTACTATTTCTGGAATGAAGTGTGAGCCCCCATCATATCTTCTCTCTCTTTAAACACTCCCTAGCTCTCTCCCTTGTCCCTCTCTCTCTCTCTCTCTCTCTCTCTCTCTCCCCCCCCTGCTTACTGTTATCAAGTAACATAGATATTGGATGAGGTTTTTTTTGGCTCCTCATAATGATGACAACAACCATATGAGGGATAGACTTAACATTGGGATTTTGAACAGAGGCTGTTAAAAACTAAGAACCAAAGTTCAACTGGCACCATATACATCCTTTTATAAGATATTTTATGCTTGTCCTTGCATGAGAGAGAATTGGATCTAACCGAAGAGTTATTATATTCAATTGAATGCCCTTAACAGCCATTCTCATGCTTTATCTAATGATAATTATTTCAACAAAGATGAACTTAAAAGGTGAGAAATATATTTTTTGATCATTGTTTGCTGGATACTTCATACTTTTTATTGAATTTTTGAGGTATGTGTGCGTGCAGGCGTAGCTTTGACAAAACTGCAAGAAGATAAAGGAATTGTAGTTCGATTTGTAGTAGGAAGAAGGTTAGTGATTTGGGTGATAAGTTGGAATAATAAAGACTTGTGATTTGCTGTTTTATAAAGTTACCTATTTGGCATACAGTGCCAATCGAGGAGATAGCATGGACAGGGATATTGATGAGGAGAACAAGAACACAAAGGACTTCCTTATCCTGGTTTGTTCAATGACTTTTCCTTGAATTCAAAATTATCTTCTTACCAACACATGTAATAACTAATCAATTTTTGTTTGTTAATCACAATTTTACATGGAGCTTTCTATTTTCATACTCACCTATTGGTAGGCATGTTTGACCTGCTGCTTTTATATTTACATGTGGGTTTATTTATTCAGAGGAAGATTTTTTTCCTTCATATATGTTCTTGTTTTTGTGGATAATTGTCATGTGATATGCCAATGAATGAAGTATTTTTCTAGCATGTTTCTTGGCAAGAGCATTCTTTAATTTTTGACTATTACGAAATATATATTGGCATTGCTTAATATGCATACTTTTCTTATCCTCTAGATGTTTGTTGGAAATTATGATCTTATACATTATAAAGTTAACATGATAAATTTTGGCACTTTGAAAATGCTTGATTAAAAAATTCCCTTCACATCTTTTAGGCAAGAGCATAAAGGTTGTTAGAGACAAGGGAATGTCAAAGGTTTCACTATTATAATTTTGATGTGAAACTAAATGCGATAGACAAGAATTGCTTGTTAGAAAATTAATAACTTGTGAGCTTGCGTTTCTAATTTAAAACGAATGCGTTCCAAGATAGATCATAAGAAATTTTCATGGAGGAACTAAGCAACGTCAATCAATTACCTTAGAAGCGACATGAAACCAACAAAATTAATCCAATGGATAAGTAATAAAGCAAATGGCTCTTAATAAAAATCCAAGGCTTAAGATATAGATCATTCACCTCGAAGTCCCTCACTTCACTCTTGGATTCACTCGGTTAGCGGAAGAGGATGGCGCACAAACTCAACGATGCCACTATCACACAAGTGACGCCGAGAAGACTAGTCGCCGGGGAAGAAGCCGGATTTGGGGAAGATGGTGGACGCCCGTTGATGATCCAATCGTCGGCCGGAAGTTGTTCGTCGATAACGTCCACGAGGGTGGGAATGATACGGTTCAAGTAATCCTCGACGGTGTGGTCGAAGCCGAACCCAACGTCAAAGAATGGCGAACAGACGACATCGATATCTCCTTGAAAGTCATACGCAAATCCGTGATCAAATTCCGGACCTGCCATTCATGTTCGTAATAAATGGAGAAGAGAAGAGTGAGGGGGAGGGGAGGTGGAAGTGGCGGTTTGGGGAAGAGAGGGGTTGGCCGTGAGCTAGATGGAGAGGGAAGGATTTAGAAAACTAAAAATAATTTCAGCTTCAATTGGTTTTGGAGGGAGATTAATTTGAAATTTCAAATTAATTCAATAATGGTTAGGGGTGTTAATGGAGGAGATAATTAGGGGCTGATTTGGTGGAGCTTTAATGTAATTTGGTAGAGAGAAGAAAAGGGGAGGGGGGTGGCCATATGGGGAGGAGAGAGAGGGGTTTGGAGTTAAGCATGTGGGGACCACAAGGGGTTAATTGATTCTATTCAAATATGAATTTTAATTTCAGAATTGATTGAATTTAAAATAACTCCCAAATTTGAATTAGGATGAGAGGGGAAATAGTTTGAATTTCAAATAGGTTGTAACTCCTTTAAATGTCTTTCCTAAACAGACAAAGCCTAATTAGGAAAGCAAATTAAGAAAGGAGAATTTGAAATTTGAAAAGGAAGAGAGCCAAGAGGGGGCCGGCGGCAAGGAGGGTTGCCACGGGTGGGGCTTGGACCAAACGGCTTGCGGCAGGGAGTTAGGAGAGCCGCCGGTGGCTGGACCGGTCAAGGGAGGCCGGTGGTGGAGCGGGTGGGGTGGGAAATTTTGGGGAGGAGGGGAATTTTCGGCTAAGTAGGGGAAGGGGATTGGGTATGAAAAAGAAAGTTATCAAACTACAAACCTTGAACACCACTTCCACAAGAACTCACAAAAAGATCCACAATACTATCTCCTCAAGAACTCACAAAGAGATCTTGGGAAATTTCATAAACTCACAAAGAGATCAACAAGAGAAAGAAATTTTCATTCATCAATAATCATCATCATACAATGCATGAGGCCTCCTATAAATAGGCCAAAATGCAACTAAAACTAAAAGACATAAATGCCCTCGGGGCTACAATATCAAATGACCATCCATAAGGGTAAAACAGTAAAATTGAAAAATAAAATAAACTACTACATAAAATAACTCAAAATATAAACTCCTGATCGTGGCCGTCGATCTCCGGTAGTACATGTGTCGAAATCACTGACGATGTCCTCATCAAATTTCTTGTTGATTTCAATGACCCAAGGCAAAAGAATTATGGAAATAGACAATGACATAGTTGCAACAGCATAAGGCCTCGTGGATTCTACTGAGACAAATGATACAAACTCATTTCCTAAGTGGGGAATAAATATCGAAGTTAAAATAAAAAAAAAATATTACTAAAGTAAACTAAGAAGGATGACAAGATTCATAGAGAGGGTTAAGGAGGAAAAAAAGGTTTATAGAGTGAATAGACAAAGGGAATGAGAGAAACTTATATACAAATTGTGGAAATGAGGAGAGAGAGATTGAAATAGATGCACATGAAAAAGAGATGGATGACAATGAAATAAACAGAGAGAGAAAATGCTTATAAATGGGTAAGAAAGAAAGTACTGAAGAAGATTGGCAACAAAATAGAAAGAAAAAAAAAAAAATCACAGGACCATTTCCGAGTCCCCCTTCCTTTCCCCTCTATTCAGAGGAGAATTTATGTGGCAGATTATTTGACAATGAAACCACAACGGGACCTTAGACTTATTCATATTTCACATTCTAGCATATGTACGTGCATCTAGCAACTGCAAGAGATACTGTGAATTCACGTAGATTATGAAAATGTAAAATAGGAAATAGGATTTCTTGAGATATAACATGGCTTGGATGGTATAGCTTGTATCTAATTTACATTCAAAATATGTCTGTACCAGAAAACTTGTGGTGACCATCAAGTGTTCTTAATGTGACTAAGAAATATCCTTCAAGGGTTTATTACTTTATTATTTATAAATAGAACATGCCAAATGGCATGTCTAACTTGCCTTTAAGTTCTAAAGTGTTTGTGCATGCAAGTTGTCAGACACATTTTAGTTTCATGGAAGTTTTATTTTGTTGTAGAGCAGACATTATTCTAAATAGTTGTGGCCCAATAGTTGATCATTTTTTATTTTATATATATATATATATATGATATGTAGGGCTTTCATATTTGTTTCCCATTTTTTATTGATTTCGTCATTTCTGCAGGGGCTTTCCACTCTCATATAACCCAAAATGAATGATTTTCTTCAATGCTTTGTGTATCATATCTTTTTTTTTTTGGGTTATTTTTGCAATTGTGAGTCTATGATGCAACGACACTTCTCTTCAAAGAGGCGTGCAGTGTCCGACGCATATCCGACACGACACCGTTCGATAGTCATCCGACACATGTCGGACACGCCGAAAACGTCTCCGATTAAAAAAATATTAAATACAAATTGGATATCCGTGTCCGACATGTGTATCTTAAATATTTTATGAATTTTTTTAAATATAATTTCTAGTATTTAAATTTTTTACTTATTTAAAATATAAAATATAAATATCTTATTTCCTATCCACAATACCAAATCAATTGTCCACAATTAATACCTCATTCATCGAATATTCTCATTTTCATTTCTATTTGGCGGGTTACAAATTTGATTTCACAACAATGCTCGATGTCATCTTAACATCAACATCAGACGTCATTACAACATCAACATTTCAAAACAATCTCCGTACGAAAGTCTTACGCTGTCTTTACATTGATGCTCGATGCTAACAATTTCTACACCCATAACTTGACATCTTATTTTTATCCAACACTTTTTCAACATCTACGACCAACGCCCTCTCAACATCGACGATAAACACTCTCTTAACATTGACATCCACTATTTATCGCATAACATCAATGTCCAACTCTCGACAACATTTTCATCTCTCTCGGTGAATGATAAACGACATCGACGCCCTACTCTTGACATCCTAATATTAATCATTTTAAGCACAATTTCTAGTTAAACAACTTATATTTTTAAATTATTTTTAAAATTATACTTATTCAATTTCATATACTATTTTTAAAATATAAAAACTATAATATCGTGTCCAACCAACGTCTATGTCCTATATTTTCAATAGTTGGCGTGTCCCGTGTCCATATCGTGTCGTATCCGTGTCGTCGTGTCCGTGTCTGTGCATCATAGTTGTGAGCGCTTTTCCTGAAAACATCAAAATTGTAATCAAAATGCCGGAATTACATGGTAATTGAGTTGCCTTTCTTTAGTTTGTAATGAATGTAAATTACAAATCTTATGTGTGTGCAGCTCGATGCCACCTTTCCATTAAGCCTTAGCTTCATGGACTTCTCATTTCATTTAAATTATAGCTGTTTATCATTGTAGTATGATTGCTGCATTGTTTTGTGGGAGTTTTCAGGTATTGCTTGTTCTTGTTAAATTGGACATTATATTTGAGTTTGTTGTTTTTTGCAACTTTATTTGTGTACTCAAACTGCAAATGTTTTTGGCTTTTAAGTAAATAGGCTGATTCAAGTTTTAGCTCCCCTGGTTAACTCATGTCTTATAGGGTGATTCAAATTTTAGCTTGAATTGTAAGGCTTTAATCAAGGCTATATGCTTAGCAACTTTGTCTAGTTGATGAATACTGGGGGAGCTTTAAACATGAGATTTGCAGTACTGATGATGCGGAAGACATGGTTATACAAGTTGGTGATGGTTGAAGAAGTGGGACAAAATAGATGTAGATAAAAATTGTAGTGGAAGTAAAGAGGAGGGGTGGTAGGAGAATTAATGGAAAAAAAAGAGAGTACTTTGCAGCAGTTTAGGGTGCGGAAGAGGGAGAGAACAGCGGTGGAGATTGTCTCCAGCCTGTGGAGATGGGCGAAGATGAAGATAAATGGATCCTTTCCGGAGACAATCTCCATGGAGAAAGTTGACCCTCGTGTTTTCCTTCACTGTATCATGTCAG